ATCTTTCTGTGCACTTGAAAGATTTCAGAATAGTTATTATCTCTAATTCTCAAATATTTCCTGAGGACTTTTTCCGTTTTGGATAATTAAACTGAGGAATTGAGGAATGAAATAACTTGTCCAGTGTCACAAAATAATTAAATGATTGAGCTGAGATCAAAAACAAGTCTGTCTTGTCTACAATTGATGGCCCTTCTTTCTCATTAATCTGATTTTTCATTGTAAGGATGAAATGTCAGGTTAAACTTAGGAATGTGCAATTGCATTTGACCTGTCTTTGAGTATCCCCCCCTTTGGCGTGGCACACACTGTCCGTTCTGAAACAACATGTATTCTTCATAGTCAGGTTCAGGCCCCAACAGTGAGCCTGGAGATCTTCTAAGTTCTCTCTGTGTCCATGCAAGGAAAGTTCCTCTACGTTCCTCTGAAATTATGGGCCTGGAGGGAGCTCTAAAATACAGTACGTTAAAGTGGTGGCACCTGGTTATCTTTTCCTAAAGGTATTAATTATGTCTTAGTTCCTGTTAGAAGTGAGTATGTAAAGAATACATGATCTGCACTGCTGATTGTCTGCTGCAGACATTATTTGTTGCATTACTCATCGTCTTCTATATAGAAATCAAGGAAAAAATCTTGAAAAACAAAATAAATAAATAAATATAAAATCTTAAAATATAAAACCAAAGTACATGTGTAAATTACTATGGGGGCTAAAAAGAATAGCTAATGTTCACCAAATGCTTATATTAGGTGTTACTGCATCTCCACTTTGAGGATGAGGAAACAAAGGAAGTTAAATAAATTGCCTGAAGGAACCCAGAAGTAAGGAGCAGGGTGTGGGTGTCAGGGGTGGAGTATGTACCCTCCTTCGTTGGTATAGATTTGCCCCATGTGATCCTTTGCAAACTTTCTTACTGCTGCTTTATTCACAGTGCATTGAAAATAGTCCGTAAATTGCTTTGTGTTTTTACTTTAGTTTTCTTTTTTCCAGTTTTCAAATTGGTATGTGAGAGTAAGAACTTGAAAATTTCTTTGTATTACTATAGCAGTTAAGATAGCATGTTGGGTCGTGGGCATTTATTATATTCTTATATTAGTTGGTTTTCATTGAAGAAGTGACAGCTTGATCCAAAAGCACCTAAAATTTATTATCCTGGGTAGATGATGAGAAATGTCAAAATACTACCTAAGCTGCTGTTAAATCTTATCAATGTTATTACTATTAAAGTCTTCACTAAGCACATTCATTAAGATTTCATTATTTTGGCTTGGCGCCTATAGCTCAGCCGGCTAAGGCGCCAGCCACGTACACCTAAGGTGGCGGGTTCGAATCCCCAGCCCGGACCCGCCAAACAACAATGACGGCTGCAACCAAAAAAAAAAAAAAAAAAAAATAGCTGGGCGTTGTGGCAGGCGCCTGTGGTCCCAGCTACTTGGGAGGTGGAGGCAGGAGACTCGCTTGAGCCCAGGAGTTGGAGGTTGCTGTGAGCTGTGATGCCATCGCACTCTACCCAGGGGGACAGCTTGAGGCTCTGTCTCAAAAAAAAAAAAAAAAGATTTCATTATTTTCATGATTATGATTTCAATGTCATACCAGTTGTTGATGGCTGAACAACTTTGTCTTTTTATTTTATCCTTCCTGTGAAAAAAATATGCATATTCAAACTTATTAAAAGAATTATCAGGTCTCAGAGCACCACTCATGTGGGGGGATGTGGAAGAGTGATGTAGAAATGCAGGAGAAATACTAGGATAGATATGGACCAGTGGTGTAGATTGGTAGTTAACACAGCAACCTGTAGGTTCACAGACTCCAGCCCATCACAGTGATGGTATTATCAGATCTCTATTTTCACTTCACCTTCCATTTAGTCTTTAAAGCACATTCTTTCCCATGGATTTCTTATACTATGTATCTGCACAGTCTATCTTCTGTCAAATTCAAGACACTTTTCTGTCTTTTTTAACCTGAATGCAGTTTGAATATCAGTGTTCTTAAGGTTCCAACCTGGACCATCTCTGTTTACTTTAACATACTTTCCTTCCATAGCCTTCTCCAGGGCTCATGCTTTCACATGCTGTTTCTTTTGTATGGTTCCTCTTAAAGTTCCAGATACCTTCTTGGCCAGTGTTGCCATAGGCAATGGGATAATACCTTATCAAACCTGAGTACAATGTTAGAAACTACCCCCCAGAAGTGTTTTCTGATGCTGAATCTGGTCTTCATGTGATGCTGTATCTTTTCTTCTCTTTTTTCAAGTCCATCTCTTTATTCTCACTGCCACTTTTTATGACTCTGTTTTGTTTTGTTTTGTTTTGTTTTTTTGAGACAGTTCCACTCTGTGCTCAGGCTAGAGTGCCAAGTGCTATGGTGTCAGCCTAGCTCATAGCAACCTCAAACTCCTGGGCTCAGGTGATCATTCTGCCTCAGCCTCCCATGTAGCTAGCACTACAGGTGCCTACCACAATGCCCAGTTAATCTCTCTCTTTCTTTCTTTCTTTCTTTCTTTCTGACAGAGCCTCACTCTGTTGCCCTGGGTAGAGTGCAGTGGCATCATCATAGCAACCTCAAACTTCTGGGTTTGAGCCATCCCCTTGACTCAGCCTTGTGAGCAGCTGGGACTCCAGGTGCCCACCATAATGCCTGGCTTGTTTTTCTACTTTTTAGTAGAGACAGGCTATCTTGCTCTTGCTCAGACTGGTCCTGAACTCCTGAGCTCAGGCAATCCACCTGCCTTGGCCTCCCAAAGGGCTAGGATTGGCAGGTGTGAGCCACCGTGCCTGGCCTAATTTTTTTTAGAGATGGGCGTCTCGCTCTTTCTTGCTCAGGCTGGTCTTGAACTCCCTGACCTCATGGTCAGGATTCTCTGAGCACTCCTCCCATCTTGTCCTCCCAGAGCGTTAAGATTACAGGCAGCAGCCACTGAGCCCAGCCTGCTTTTTGTGTCCTGCTCTGATTATGGATGAGTCCTCTAACTACCTGTCCACCCTCCCTCTCCCATATTATAGTCTATTCTTCAGAATATCATTCAGATGATCATTCTCCGTATACATCTGATATTGTTAGAGCTGTCAGTGGCTCTCCACTGCCTTGGGTTACCTGACCTCATATTCTTGGTCCTCCCATTTCTCCTCTGTCTGCCTAATTAAGTTACACTTAGCATTTACTTTCAGGTGGCAAATTCTGGGAAGCAAACTTTTCTGATGCTTTAATTCTTGTCTTTTACCTATGCCCCACAGGGCTTTGTCACTCCTTTTATGTGTTCTCCTTGGAGTCCAAGCAATTCCTGTATCGCAGCACTTCAATATTGATGTTTTTTAACATAATAGGCCTGATCTTCCCAACCTCAGAAGGCAGTGTGAATCTTTGCATGCAGGTCTCCAGCCAGGCCAGTTGTGGATGCTTATTTGTTGACTTCTTTAACAGTGGTTCTCAGCTAGAGGTAATTTTGCCCCTCAGGGAACATTTGGCAATGGCTGGGGACATTTTTGAATTGCTGTGACTGGTGGGACAAGTGCTCCTGTTAGCTAGTGGGTAGAGGCCAGGGGTGCTGCTACACACCCACAGTGCCTGGGACAGCCCCATCACCTCAACCAGCCCACAGGGCAGTGGTGCCCAGATTGAGAGATCCTGCTGTAGGATGAAGTGCAAAACTTTAGGGTATTAAAGACATAACACCAAAAATATGAAATTATTTAAATATATTCTTAAGTAATACAAGTTTGTGTGCAGTTTTATAAAGTTTTCAGTGTCAGAGAGTTTTATTTTCTTTCTAAACTGCTCTGGTTCTTTCAGTGGCTCATTTTTTCATATTTATTCAGACTCTGTCTTGTGTGGAAAACATGTGCCCAGTGCTTATTAATGGTTTAACAGATACCTGAAGTGATTTAGGCCCAAACTGAAATGGGAAGATGGTAGAACTAAACTTTTTATTTACTTCAGAAATTTAGTCATTTACTTTTTCTTATTTTCAGGGTGGCTGGTGTCTTTTTAAAGACTCCTAAAAAGGATTTAGTTATATAATTCTCAAAAAAGGCCTTTCTTTTGATGTCGATTAATAAATGATGAAAACTCTAGTGATACCTATAACACCAGGGCACTAAATTAGATGGGTCTGCTAGTTAGAATATTGGGGCTGGAAATTTGAATATTGAAGGATAAATTGTTGCTGACACTAGCACAGCATGGACTGACGTACAAAACCACATCATAGGAAAAGAAAATCCCATCACACTTAAAAGTTTTAGTGTGTCTAGGCAAAGACAAAAAGTATAAGAAAGAAGCTTTTGATTCTTCTATCCAGTATTAGCCATGTGTTATGAATTCTTATTTTATAATCCAATTTTCAAAAACTTATTATTTTGGAAGTTCAGAAATTTGACTAGGAGAAAGAAGAAACATTTTAGGAAATGTTAGGAAAAAGAGACAATGATTCATATTCTTAAGTAGTTCTGTTAATATTTGCAATTTCGAACTAGTCTCTGGAAAATATGATACTCAAATTGTACTTGAAAAATCAAATTTTATCTTTAGTCTTAGAGCCTCCTTTGGTAAGTTAAATGGTTTATACCTGAAGAGGCAATTTTCTTTATATTTGGTTTATGACAAATGGTGAATATTATTTAGTTGCACATTAAATTGCAAACACATTTTTCCCCATATATGCCAAATTATAGTGACTATCATCAGCCTTTTATATTAGTGTTATTAGTTCAGTTTTAGAGATACCATCTTTTAGTTTGCTGAAGGGAGATTGAAACATTTGTGCTGATTTTGATGGGTTCCCTGAGACAGCATCTGACTTACAATTGGTTTAATCTCTTCCTGTCTTTGCCTTAGTTACTTTTGGATTTTGTGTCAAAACAGAAGTTTAAGCTATAATACTATATTTAAAAATCTATTACAAGGAACATAATATCAAAAGGGAATAGCATGACAGATACGTACATTTGGACTTGAATTCTCTGTACTTAATTGCATTTATCTTAATTTTTTTCAGCCAAGTTCTACAGAAATTTTGGAGTATTCATCAGATAGTGAAAATGAAGATGACTCAGAGAATATCCTATTTATTGATTCAGAATCCCCTCACAAATACCACATGGAGTTTGGGTCAGATGCAAGATGGGTTACAGAGAAACTCGGAGACCCAAAGGCAAGCTCAGCAAAGACCATTTTGTGTTCACCCCAGAAACAGATTACTAAGTTTCCCAAGACTCCAGAAAATTCAGCAAAGAAGAAGTTTTTAAGGTTATTATACATTTTAAATACTTTTTTCTAATTTTCTCTTTATAAACGCAAACATCTAAAATGTTAATGTAAAAATACTTGTTTCTTTGGGAAGGAAGATTAGAAGAAGAGAATTATAATTTTGATAAGCTGTTATGCAAGTCTTAAGTTCTGGAACTGATTTATGGAATTGTTTGTTGAAGCTGAGCATTCAGGGATCCAGTCATGACCAGCTTACATGACTGTTTTCCTTAGCAGAGACTTCTTGTCAAATTTTATTGAGCATCAGTGTTGCACGTGCTATCTTAGACAGAAGAGACAAGTGAATCATTGTTCTGTTTTTAAGTAACTTATAGTCTAAAGAGAGAAATAGAAAGAAATATAAACCATGCCAGGTTACCTTCTACTAGCATAGTGGGAGACACTGGCCAGGGTAGCATTTGCAAATACAAAGTATGAGAGAGGAAAGACTTAAGGACTAGAAATAGCTAGTATACCTACAGAGTGCCACAGAGGTGTGCTCCTGTCACTGCAGTGCTGAGGCTGTGCCCGGAGACCAAGGACTCATCTCTGCCTTGTGTAATACAGAGTCTCTTTGTTTTCTAAAAAAGATCAAAACACCACCAACCAAAAACCCAAGGGAAGTAAGATAGCCTGTGAGAAGCAAGGTCAGAAAAGCCAAGTCAGAGAAAGTTTCAAGGAAAAAGTTTCAGTAGAAAGAATAAACGTGCTAAGGAAGAGTACAGGTTGGGATATTTCCATTGCTATTTCTTCTTCAAGAGAAGGCATGCCCTGCATGCAGTGAGGAAAGCGTGAAGCAGCACAAGGCTCAAGGTGTAGGGCGGGGACCAGGAGGAAGGGCTTTGCTTCTCTCTAGGATTGCTGGTGGCTTGAAAGGGATCCTGTTTCTAGAGAAAGAAGGACAGAAAGTAGGACTTTGAAAATAGTAGGGGGCCCCAGTAGGACAGAGAGGTTGGGATCACTGGTCTGTCATTGTGCTGGAGAGGAGGAGGAGGGAGGGTCAGAGAAGAGAGGCCTGACTTAGGCACATGGGTAAGGGAAGGGCATTACGGATATGGCCAAGTCTGGTGGAACCGCAGGGCACAGTGAGACACTTTATGCCTGCTCACTCCAGAATTATTTTTTTTCATGAAAAAAGACAAGGACTTATGCCCGAGGTAAAGAAGTTGTGCTCTCAAGAAATAATGGTGGTAAATTGTACCTGTCTCTGAGGAGAAAGGAAAAGAAATCCATTAAAAGAATTAGTGTGTTGTCATTGGTAAAGGTGTCATGCAGTTACAGGAAATCATGCCCCAGCCCTCCTGAGGTCTTGCCATGGGCAAGTGTGTTGTCACGCCTGGGAGTGAGCAAACGTGATGAGCATCCATGCCTGTGTCCTGGGGAAGGCTGATAAGGAGCCAGCAAGAAGTAAGAAAGATGTAATGTCAGAGGAGATATACATTATGAAGAAAAAGCAGAAAGGGAGGACAGAGAATGGCCCAGAGATGGAGGGGGCATTTTGGTTTTATGAGGGCACAGAGAAGCTGCTGAGGTGGCACCCTGGCAGTGGGAGGGACAAGAGGGTTATGCAGGGCAGTGGGCACTTTCATTTTTGTTTCTTTAGCTCGAAAGTCACAAGGCTTGTGACCATTTTCAGTTAGATATCATAGATCTGAATAGGGAATATGAGTCTGGACTCCACAGGCAGGCCTGGTGCTGGGGATATGAGTTGTAGACTTCAGTGTCCAGGTGGTATAAGGCATGGCAGGGTCAGGTCACAGGGGATGCAGTGCAGTGCAAGGGAAGAATTGGTCCGAGGCCTGTGTCCTGGGCATACTGCAGAGGTTAAGGTATGCAGGAAGAGGCTGCTAAGGAAGGTGTGGTGTCCTGTAGGCAGTGAGGAGAGAAGGTGACCCTCTGTGAGGGAGGCTACTCAGGTTGACCACTGAGATGCCACTGTGGCAGGAGGAGTACAGCTCTTCTCGGGGAGTGGCCAGGCAGAACAAGCTGCTGTGCGTTCAAGAGAGGAGGGAAAGAGGGAGACTGGAGACAACAGGTGGAACTTAGGAGGAGTCTTGCTTTGAGGGGAGCAGATCAACAGGGTGTTAGTTGGAAGGAAATGGGAAGGTTGAGGTTTCTTTTTTTGAGGGAGAAATTTTACTTACTTACATATTGATGAGAAAAGGGGAAGCTGCTGAGCTTGGGAGGGAAAGGACAGCTAAGGAGCTGTCTTTGATGTGGGGGAGGAGGGAAGTTGTGAGCAAAGGTGTCCTGGCCAGGGACACAGCGTCCACTGTGCGTGGGCAGAGGCCATGCAGGTACAGGCAGCTGTGTGTGCCTGGGGAACAAGTGCCTTCTAAAACTTGTATTTCAACTGATAGGGAGAATGAGGAGGGAGAAGTGTATATGATTTCAGGAGAGAAGAGTATATGATATAAGCATGTGGCAGGGGTGAATGGACTGGGGAAGTGTTCCAGGGGTGTGTGACAGGATGAGATCCTATTGGGAGCAGTGATCATGGATTGAGTTTGAAACTCACCAGCCAGTGTGGATTCAACTCTGCAGCTGCTCTGTGGAGGAGGCAGAGTGTGGGGATTGTCCTAGACACAGTGAAGAGGTTTTAACAGCACTTCTAAGAGAAAGGTTGTAATGACCTATAAAGCCTAAGTTAGCCAAGGTAGAAATGAGACCTTGCAGAGTATGGAGCACAGTGATTTGGAGTAGGACCAACCAAGTGGAGCTTGGGAGAGGTTGGTCAAACCCTTTTGGAGTCAGGTTCCTAGAGGTGATGAGCTGGAACAGTAAGGATGATAGGTGCTTAGAATTAAGCTAATGGGGGGAAACAGTTTGTAACTTCAAGATTAAAGAATTGTCCTGGGAATTGAGGAGAGATGGAGGACATGGTCTTGGAGCCTGGCTGCCATTGAAATCAATAGGAATGGTGGCCAGGAGCTGGGAAGAAAGACCTCTTAGGGTATCTGGATGGCACTGTGGAGTGCCTGCCCTTGGCTGGCTGGGCTAGAGTATAAAGGAGGGTGCATGGTCTGGAAACTGCAGTAAACAACCAGGCTTTCCCAGGAGAGGGGAGGGGAAAGAAGACAGCACTGTTTAAGACAGGGGTCCTCAAACTTTTTAAACAGGGGCCCACTTCACTGTCCCTTAGACCATTAGAGGGCCGGACTGTGGGCCCCGGGACAAGTCGGCTCCTAAGCTGGCCAGGCAGCGGTGGCAAAAACACCTGGTGGGCCGGATAAATGTCCTAGGTGGGCTGCATGTGGCCCACAGGCTGTAGTTTGAGGACGCCTGGTTTAAGGTCACTGTCTGGGAGTCCTTAAAAGAAGGTGAAAGCCAGGCACAGTGGCTCATGCCTGAAAGGCCAAGGCTGGAGGATCGCTTGAGGTCAGGGGTTCAAGAGCAAGACCCTCCTCTCTACCAAAAATAGAAAAACTAGCCAATGTGATGGCACATGCCTGTAGTCCCAGTTACTCAGGAGGCTGAGGAAGGATGATTGATCACTTGAGCCCAAGAGATTGAAGTTGCCATGAGCTATGATGATACCACTGTACTCTTCTGTAAACAACAGAGTATGATTCTGTCTCAGAAAAAAAGAAAAAGAAGGTGAAGGGAACATTCATGCATAGAAGTGGCTGAATAGTTCCAACAATACGTAAATGGTTTTTCTTCCTGTGATTTCTAAGAAAAATTAAACGAAGGCCGTTTTATGGCCACCCTTTTAAAATTACTGTGTTTAAATATTCAAAATGAGATTGGTGTCTTAGGGCTGTCAGTCTCAGGCCTTCAAAAACTGGAAGACTTTTTGTTTTACTGAATTGACTAGAAAAGGCCATGACCTGTCTCCTGTGGGTGAATGAATAGTGGTTTGCTGACCACCTTCTGAAGCAGAGGGGAAAATGTAACATATTTTGGCACATAAACTGTCTTATAATGAAAGTACTGGAGAGTCATGCTTTTGAGGTTAAGGAAATCTCTTATCTGATAATGACCCAAAAGCAGTTTTGCATTAAACATTTGCTTGGAAAGTGAATTCTTTGGTATCAAAACACTGAGATATAGACGTCCTGATAGTGCTCATGGTAAAAGATAACCAGTGTTTGTCACAAAGGGGTATGGAGGCCTGAGAAGCAAACTGTTGCCAACGGAAACAGAGGGTGTAAGAAATAGGCTTTCATTATCTAGCATGAATAGAGAAGTGGTTAAAAGAATTTTGTTTTTGTTTAATAGTGGCTAGCTAGCAAGTATCAAGAGTGGTCGTTGGTATGTCAAGGCTGGAGTACATTGGCCCTTTCCGTCTGGTGTGCACCATGGAAATGTTACTCAATCTCTTTGTGCTTTTTCCTTTTTCATTTTTTTGATCATGGCAGTGTTTGAGGCATAGCTTATAAAAGCCAGTGCAAACTTGGTTAGATATTTAAGTGTGCTGTTAATAATATCTCCCTAGTCTTATGATCAAGTTATTTTTCACAGTATCTGTTATATCTAACAGAAAGCAAAACTTGAATGTATTATGCTAGAGTCATTTTGATTGTTTTTATTTACCTAGTTGTATAACGTATTAAAAATACTTTAATGAGTATGAGTATTCTTTTTTTTTTTTTTTAAATAGGGTATCACTCTGTTGCCTGGGCTTAAAGTTCAGTGGTATCATTATAGCCCACAGCAGCCTCAAATTCCTGGGCTGAAGAAATTCTTTGTACCCTTAAAGAATCCCGAACAATAAAAAAAGGAAAAAGAAAACCTATCTTCTCAGCCTCCCAGAGTGCTAGAATTACAGTGAGAGCCACCGTGCCTGGCCTTTAATGAGCATTTTGACTGGAAATGAGTTAGGATATTTTTGAATTTGTATTATTCTTTACTCCTCAATATTGATTTTTGATTTTATAGAAAATTTTACCAATGAATAGTTTATGCCAGTAATCTTTTGGGATAAATTACCAATCTGTTAACTCTGTAGAAAAGATTATTAGGACATCTTAATTTGCTCAGTAAATTTGTATTTTCATTCCACTAGAGTTTTGGACTTTGTGAATAACTTGGCTGAGTACACTGAAGAGTTAATATGGATATAGATGGCAATGCCTTCCAGAACTTCTTATATGATTTTTTTTTTTTTTAATGTGAGCTAGGTATTTAGTAGAAGTAGGATCATCATTTAGAGGATCTGGTATTTCCATTCTTAAATTCAAGTGCGTCTGGCCTGAATTCCCTATAGTACATATAGACCGTGATGCTCAAACTCAGCTAGAGACAGAGATTTTTGTCTGAGGGCTCCAGGTACTCCCACATGTAGAGAATTCCTGAGCTCAGGTCTACATTTGCTATTACCTTGCATCTTGCAATTTTTATAAAGTTCTTTTGGGGTTCTAGGTTTGACCTTAACTGAATACTGTCTTCAGATTCTATTTTGGGTTTTTTTTCCTCCTCTATCATAGCACTGAAAGGCAACATTTGGCAATGAGTTATCTAATCTAGATAATTATACAAAGAATGTGATATTTTAATTTTTTTGCATTTATTATATTACAAACATCATTATTAATAGTACTGTTTAAGATGTGGTCTGTATAATGTCAACTAAGAGTGTGTACCCTGGAGCCCAGCTCCCTGGCACACATGCAGCTGCACTGCTCACTAGCTATGTACCTTGGAGAGGTGTCAATGCCTCAGTGCCTCAGATTGTCATCTGTGAGGTGGGGATGATAGCAGCGTCCACTTCATGGTGTTGTCCAGAGGAGAGTATAGATTAGTAAATTATACAGAACAAAATTATGTAAAGAAGGGCTTTGGTTAAGTAAAGATTAGGCATATATGTGAAATAGAGATTTTTGTGGCATATTTCTGAGTATGAGGTGTTTTTTTTTAAAAATGTTTCTCTTTTATGTGTACATACTACATACACGCACAAGCACATTCAGAAATAATGCCCTTAGGAAGACATCCTATGTGGTTGTGATAATATGTATATTATGTATTAAAATAAGATCTTTGAATCATAGTAGAAAGAGCATAGGGTGCAAGTGAAATGGTAACAAAAACAGCAACAACAGTAACAATCATGGACATTTTGTTAAAGGTTTACTAAATGCCAGGCACTGTGCTAAGTCCTTTCTGGTTTTAACAGCTCATTCCTCATCTAGCTAGTTATGTGATATCAAAGGTCATTAACTTCTTTACAAACTCTGATGTTATCTATGCAGTAGGTGTATTAGTTTACTAAAACAAGCTAATGTAGTGAAATGATTAATGAATGGTAATGAGATAATAAACTTATGAGAAAATACATAGATAAATTATGTAGCATGTAGCCATAATGGTGATTAACATTGATCTTGATTTCTCTTGAGATTATAGATTTGTTAGGAGATACTGACTTCTCTTACTCTCACACACATATATGTGTTTATATATTTATAATGCATATATACATTAGTATGTTTATAAATATATACATGCATCAATGAATATATATTCATTGATAGATAAGAGTTATTGTGAAGTACCTATATATGTTTATTGCTATGAATTTGTCTTCCTGCCACATGTATACCTGGAAGTTTTCTTTTTTTATTTAATGTTGGTTTATTTGCTCTGTTTGTAATTGATACTCAAATATCTCTAGAGCCCATACTAAGTATTCCACCTATCAACACTTTGGCGACATTGTTCTTGACTGGAACTCTGAACCCACTTTACATTTATCTGCCCACTCCCATCTGCTAAGCCCACTGTGAACCTTCCTACCCACCATCAGGTAGCTCATAGGTATCTTTGTGTCCTTGGTACCTAGAAAAGTAATAGGTGCCACCATATAGAAGGTGGTGAGCAGTGCATATTTGTGGGATGAATAAGTGAACTAAGAAAGAACAGGAAAGGAGTTAAACTGATATTTAACTGTCATATCTAAAAATATGATATTCTTAGGAAGTACTATTAATGCATAGTCTTAAGAAACATGAAACTAAATTTCCAGAAAACTTAAAAACTGACTTAGGAGGATATGACCTCTAGAAAGAGAATATGGTAACAAAAATATTTGAAGATTCTGCATGTTTTATTTATTCTTTTCTGGTTGAGGGATATAAAATAAGACTGTTCCAATTATTGTATAGGTTTTCTTATAAATTTTAACATATCATCATTCATTAAACAGAGGCGGGCTAGCAGAAAGATTAAATGGACTGCAGAATCGGGAGAGATCTGCCGTCTCTTTGTGGAGACATCAGTGTGTTTCTTACCAAAAGACACTTTCAGGTAAGGCTTACCCAGGCATCCAAGACAGTGTGTAAAAAGTACTCCAGTTAAAAGTATTTTTTTTTCTTGTCTAAAAGTGTGTCTGGTAAAAACAACAAGAAAGTATTTTTACATTAAATTATATGAAGTTGATCCTTATAATTTTCATGAATTTATAAAAATTTATTTTTCCCTAATATTCTCATTTAATTTTGATATACAGAAAGCTGTACATCATTAATGTCTACAACTTAGTGAATTTTGAGATAAGCTTACATGTATAAAACCATCCCCATAATCTGTGCCATAAACCTGTACCTTCAAAAGTTTCATTCTGCTTTCTTATTTATCATTATTATTATTATTTGAACAGTTAACATAAGATCTATCCTCCTACCAAAATTTTAGTGTACAATACAGTGTGATTGACTACAGGCACTATATGTGGTGTGCGGTAGGGACATCTCCAGGACTGACTTATCTGGTATAACCATAATTTCGTACCTTTTGTCTAGTACTTCCCCTGGCAGCAGTTATTCTACAACTGTGCTTCTATAGTCCGAGCATTTAGTCAAGAAAAAGAAGTGAAAGGTATCCAAATTAGAAAGAAGGAAATAGTTATCTTTGCAGAGAACATGCTGTTATAATCTAGAAAACCCTATGAGACTCTATTAAAAAAAAAAAAAAACACTAGTAAATGAATTCAGCAAAGTTACAGCTTTCAAAATAAACATTAAAAAAATCAGTTGCTTTCTATTCTACTTCAATGTCACTCTCTCTGTTTTTGTGCCTGTTTTGATCACTCTGGCCTTGTAGTACAGGCAAAAGTTTGGTAGGGTGATACCCATGGCTTTGTTTTTATTACTAAAAATTGCTATGGCTATAATGGGGTTTCTTCTGGTTCTATACAAAGTGAACAATTTTTTTTCCAAATCTTGAAAGTATGATGATGGTATTTTAATGGGGTTTGTATTGAATCTGTAGATTGCTTGGGGTAGTATAGACATTTTCATAATGTTGATTCTTCCCAGCCTTGAGTATGGTATATTCCATTTGTTAATATCTTCCGTTGATTCTTCCCAGCCTTGAGCATGGTATATTCTTCCATTTGTTAATACCTTTCTTTTCGTAGGGTGTTGGAATTTTCTTTCTAGAGGTCCTTCACCTCTCCTGTTATGTACATTCCTAGGTATTTAATTTTTTTTTTCCTTGAAGCTATTGAAAAGGGAATTGTGTCCTTGATTAGCTTCTCATCTTGGCTGTTATTGGCATATATAAAGGCTGCTGATACGTGGACATTAATTTAATATCCTGAGACATTGCGCGCGCGCGCTCTCTCTCTCTCTCTCTCTCTATATATATATATATATTTTTTTTTTTAATCATTTCCAGTAGTCTGTGTTTGAGTCTTTGACATTCTCTAAGTATAAGATCATATTGTCAGCAAAGAGCAAGAGTTTGACCTCCTCTGCCCCCATTTGGATGCCCTTTATTTCCTTCTCATGCCTGATTGTATTGGCTAGAACTTCCAGCACTATGTTGAATGGTAGTGGTGATAAGAGGAAAATCTTGTCTTGTTCCAGTTCTGAGTGGAAAAGCTTTCAGCTTTACTCTATTCAGTATAATATTAGTTGTGGGTTTGTCCTAGATAGCTTTGATCAGATGAAGTGTGCCACCTATGCCTAAATTCTTCAGAGTTCTAATTAGAAAAGGATGTTGAATTTTATCAAATGCTTTTTCATCATCTATTGAGAGGATCATATGGTCTTTGTTTTTGCTTCTTTTGATATTGTGAATAACTTTTATGGACTTGTTCAGCCTTGCATCTCTGGGATGAAACCTACTTGATCATGATGAATGATTTTTTTAATGTGTATCTGTAATCTATGGGCTAGGATTTTATTGTGAATTTTTGCATCTATATTTATTAGTGAAATTTGTCTGAAATTCTCCTTTTTAGTTGGATCTTTTCCTGGTTTGGTATCAGAGTGATGTTTGCTTTGTAGAACACGTTGGGGAAGATTCCTTCCTCCTCAATTTTTTAAAATAATTTCTGCAGTACAGGTATAAGCTCTTCTTTGAAAGTTTGATAGAATTCTAGTATAAAACCATCTGGACCAGGGCAGTTTTTGTTGGGAGACTTTTCATTATTTCTCCCATCTCAGTTCTTGAAATCTATTCAAGAATCTTGAAATCTGTTGAAATCTCTTGAAATCTGTTCAAGAGATCTATTTCTTCTTGATTAAGTCTAGGGAGAGGGTGTGATTCAGATATTGATCCATTTCTTCCACATTGAGAAATTTCTGGTTATAGAATTTCTTGTAGTACTAAGAGACAATCTCTTATATCTCTGTGGCATCTGTTGTTACTTCCCCTTTATCATTTCTGATTGAGGTTATTAGAGACTGTGCTTTTCTGTTTCTAGTTAATCTGGCCAGCTGTTTATTGATTTCATTTATTTTTTCGAAAACCAGCCATTTGTTTCATTAATTTTCTGAATGATTCTTGTGTTTTCAATTTCATTAATCTCTGATTTAATTTTGGTTATTTCTTTTCTTCTGCTGGGTTTGGGATTAGATTGTTCTTATTTTTCCAATTCCATAAGATGGTTCATGAGTTTGTTGATGAGCTTTCATTTTGTTATTTGAATGTGGGCATCTAATGTGAGATGCTTTTCATGTATCCCACAAATTTTGGTAACTTGAGTCTTCATTGCTGTTATGTGTGAGGAATTTAACAGTTTCCTCTTTTATCTCTTCCTAAACCCAAGTATCATTCAGCATAAGATTACTTAATTTCCAAGTCTTTGTGTGGGGATGAGGTTTTTCTTGCCTTGTGGTCTGAGAAGATACAAGGTATAATTTCTATTCTTTTAATTTTGCTGAGGTTTGATTTGTATCCTAGGATGTGGTTGATTTTGGAATACATACCATGGGCTGACAGAAAAAATGTATATTCTTTAGCTTTGGGATGGTATGTTCTGTATATGTCTATTAATCCCATTTGTTCTAGGGCTGCATTTAAGTTGTTTGTATTTTTGTTTAGTTTCTGTTTAGAGGATCTGTCCAGTTCTGTCAGTCAGAGGGGTGTTAAACCATGAGATGGAACTAACATCTTATAGCCACCTGATCTTTGATAAACCAAACAAGAACATACACTGGGGAAGAGAATCCCTATTCAATAAATGGTGCTGGGCAGCACCTGTGGCTCAGTAAGTAGGGCGCCAGCCCCATATACTGAGGGTGGCAGGTTCAAACCCAGCCCTGGCCAAACTGCAACAAAAAAATAGCTGGGCGTTGTGGCGGGTGCCTATAGTCCCAGCTACTCGGGAAGCTGAGGCAGGAGAATCACCTAAGCCCAGGAGTTGGAGGTTGCTTTGAGCTATGTGACACCACAGCACCCTACCTAGGGCGATAAAGTGAGACTCTGTCTCTACAAAAAAAAAAAAAAAAAATGGATAAAAGACCTAAATCTAAGATAGAAAACAATAAAAATCCCTGAAGAAAGTGGATTCAAGTGGAAACACTTGAAGCTATTGGCCTGTGGAAAGACTTTATGAGGAAGACTTCCATGGCAGTTGCAACAAAAACATAAATAAAAATATGGGACTTAATGAAACTGAAAAGCTTCTGTACAGCTAAGGAGACAACAACCAAAGCAAATAGACAACCCACACAATGGGAAAGAATATTTGCATATTTTGAATCAGATAAAAGTTTGATAACTGTGATCTATAGAGAAATTAATGAACATAAAAAGAACCAACAATCCCTTATACCACTGGGAAAGAGACATGAATAGAAGCTTCTCTAAAGAAGATAGACAAATGGCTAACAATTAAAAAAATGCTTATCATCCCTAATCATATGAGAAATGTAAATAAAAACCACCCTGAGATATCACATAACCCCAGTGAGAATGGCCCATATCACAAAGTCTCAAAGCTGCAGATGCTGGCGTTGATGTGGAGAGAAGGGAACACTTTTACACTGCTGGTGGGACTGCAAACTCATACAGCCTTTTTGGAAGGAAGTATGGAGAATCCTCAGAGAACTCATATTTGACCTCCCATTTGACCTTCATCCTTACCACAGATCAGGAAAGGTTACTCCATTCCCAGTCCAGCCAGCAAGCTACCTTTGTCACTTACCACAGATCAGGAAAGGTTACTGATGGGTATCTGGCCAGTTTTCCAAAGGGCTTTTTCATTGGCCTTATAAAGTCAACCTTAATTCCTTAACACAATCTGGAAATGCTATTCCAACCAAAGCCTTGGTCATGTTAGGCCCACAACTAACCTGGCCACATGGGATTCTGCCTCAGTTTCTCACAAGTATGCCCGCACAAAGTCTTTTCACTGCTCTCTCTCAAACGGCTTTTTTGGCCAGAGGCATATAGGTGTTTCGCTTATAGTTCTCCTTATTTATTTCCTTCAGATATGCAAAATTATAGTTTATAAAATTAATCTATAAATTGTATGTATTTAGCGTGAGACTCTTTTCCCAGGTGTCTTCCATTGGGGAATATTATTTAATCAGTCTATGGCTGAGAGGTGTGTGTTGTCTATAGTTTGATTTGAAACATTTGAGTGGTCTGTCAGTGGAAACAAGAAGAACCTAGGAGGAGAGGAAGCGCATCTCAATTTCCATAAGCCTGCTCCAAGGGCTAGACAGCCGGGTCTGGACCTGTTCTCCATACCAGCTTCCCAAAGAAAGAATCATGAGTAGAGTGTGGTGACGCATGCTGTAATCTTAGCACTCCAAGGAGGGTGGATTGCTTGAGCTCTGGAGTTTGAGACCAGCCTGAACAAGAGCAAGACCTCTGTCTCTACTAAAAATAAAACAAAAACAATCTACCTGGGCATGGTGTGGCGCACCTATAGTCCCAGCTACTCAGGAGGCTGGGTCAAGAAGATCGCTTGAGTCCAGGAGTTTGAATTGATACAGTGGCCATGGCTAAAGTATTTAAAGAAGGAAGGAGGGTCCTGCCTACTTATCTTGAAAACCCCGTGTACCTAAACTGTGGCTACATCTGTAGCCTCCAATGCATCAGCTTGGAGAAGGAACCCATGGGGAAGGCGTCTCATGCCCTTTCTTTTCTGTGGTCTCTCAGAAGAATGATATAAAGCTCCATCACCTGCTGAAGAGGATGGTTTCCAAGGTCAAGAAACTAGAGCCCCAGCTGAGAGCAATTCTACACTAGAACCCAAGGATGCTGAAGTTCTGTGTAGATATAACTTTCAATGTTGACACAGCCAATAATTGACTAATCATTTCTGATGACTTGAGTCACATCCACTGTGGGCATATCACACAGAATCTCAGCAAATGCACTGAGAGATTTGAACACTCAATCCGTGTCCTGGGCTCCCCTTATTATAGCCCCCTAGACCTGAAAAGATAGAGTCAGACCCCCACTTAGGTTAATTAATTGGTAATTTATTTTACCTGCTGCAGGGGCTGCTGCTCTGAAAGACAGTCAGCAGCCCAAGTAGGAGGGTGAGTTGCCTTTTATAGGCTTTGTGCAAGCATATTACAGAAGAGAAACATGGCTGGTTAAGGGGGCTTACAACTCAGATAGTCATGGATACAGCAATGGAACAATAATTAATAGAGCTTCAGTTGACAATGGATACATCTCATATCACAATGGTTATGGTTATACAATAGTAATTAATCAAGTCTCGGTGAGTTTTCCACCATTGTTCATCTACTGAGAACTTGGGGGGTTTTGTGAAACTTGGGACTTTTCTTCCTTGTACCTGGAGCTTGTTCTTGGCAACCCTAGGGGGAAGGAGGAGGCCTGGGAACATGGCTGGGAAGCACTGTTCTCAGCCACCCTGAGGGGAGGAGGGACTTACTTGCCTTATTCTCAAGTTGACTCTGGGGGGAGAAGGGAGGAGGAAGGAAATGGGCTGGAGAGGGCGGGGAGGGGGGGAACAAGTAAGGACGGGGTAGGGGGGAACAGGAGAGGGCTGGAGAACAGGAGTGGGCAGGGAAAAGAGGGCTGGGTTACAACACCCTCTGTTCACCTCTGGACATCATTACTGGGAGGTGGATGTGGGGACAAGCAAAGAATGGGACCTGGGTGTTTGTGAAGAATCTGTTAATTGACAAGAGTCATTTCTACTGTCTTCAGATATTGGCTTATGGATCGTGGATTTGAGAAATGAAGGGCTTCTTTCAGCCAGCACTATGCCTTTAACCCCCCTCTCAAGGAGACTCCCATTACGCCCAGTAGGCATTTTCCTGGAATGGACGTTGGAATCATTTCCTTTTATAACATCAGAGATGGATCCCATGTTTTTACATTCACTAAAGTGTCTGCTGAAGAACCATTGCACGCATTTTTTTCTCTTGCAAATCCAGTTAATGATCAAGGCTTCCTGAGTATCCGTCCCATGATAAATCTGGGCATTGCCAGGTCTCCAGTTTATCTGGAGCAAGGCAGATAAACTTTTAGCCACAAAAAACATGTAGAGAAAATCACTTTGTGCTCAAAGCCAAAAATGTTTCTTCTTGGTTCAACACGTGGGACAGAGTTATAGGAGAAAATATGGAATATTTTATGAATCATGAATATGAAATAGGTGAACTGAGAAAAATTACATTTCAAAAATTATTTTTTTTGAGACAAAGTCTCAAAGCTGTCACCCTGGATAGAATGCTGTGGTGTCACAGCTCACAGTAACCTCAAACTCTTGGGCTTAAGTGATTCTCTTGCCTCAGCTTCCCAAGTAGCTGAGATTACAGGCACCTGCCACAATGCCCAGCTATTTTTTTTTTATTAAGTCAGATACACATAGGTCATGAATACATTTAAGCATATGTGGGGTACAATGTGTTGATTTTTTAATACAATCTGATGTGCTTACATCAATTTGTTATAATTGTCATTGTTTTTAGGTGGCCCGGGCTAGGTTCAAACCCACTAGCCTCGGTGTATGGCCGGTTCTCTACCCACTGAGCTATGGGCACCGCCTTACATTTCAGATATTAAGTATTTGAGATGATGCCAATCATCTTTCAGGATTGACCTGAAATGAAGAGATTAATCATCACTGATCACTAGAAGGCAAAAAAAAAAAAAAAAAAAGTCAGTACTTCCAAAGCAATCTACCAATTCAATGCCATCCCTATTAAAATACCAACACTGTACTTCAAGACTTGGAAAAAAATAATTCTTTGTTTTGTATGGAACCAAAAAAAAAAACCTGTAGAGCTAAGGCAGTTTTCAGTAATAAAAACAAAGCTGGGGCATAAGCATACCAGATTTTAGGCTGTATTACAAGGCCATAGTGGTCAAACCAGGAAATGAAACTAACATCTTAACAGCCACCTAATCTTTGATAAATCAAACAAGAACATACACTGGAATAGGGGTCAAGACTCCCTATTCAATAAATGGTGCTGGGAGAACTGGATATCCACATGTAAAAGACTGAAACTGGACCCACAACTTTCTCCATTCACAAAAATTGATTCAAGATGGATAAAGGGCTTAAATTTAAGGCTTGAAACAATAAAAATCCTCAAGGAAGGCATAGGAAAAACACTGGAAGGTATCAGCCAGGGGAAAGAATTCATGAGGAAGACTTCTTTGGCAATTGCAACGACAACAAAAATAAACAAATGGGACTTAATGAAACTGAAAAGCTTCTGTACAGGTAAGGAGACAACAACCAAAGCAAATAGACAGCCTACACAATGGGAAAGGATATTTACATATTTTGCATCAGACAAAAGCTTAATAACTGGGATCTATAGAAAATTCAAATTAATCCACATGATAAAAGCCAAAAATCCCATATATCAATGGGCAAGGGAAATGAATAGAACCTTCTCTAAAGAACACAGACAAATTGCTAGCAAACATGTGAAAAAATGCTCATCATCCCTAATTATTAGAGAAATGCAAATCAAAACCACCCTGAGATACCATGTAACCCCAATGAGAATGGCCCACATCACAGAATCTCAAAACTACAAATGTTGGTGTGGATGTGGAGAGAAAGGAACACTTTTACACTGCTGGTGGGACAGCAAACTAATACAGCCTCTTTAGAAGAAGTATGGAGAACCCTCAAAGATCTTAGTCTAGACCTCCCATTTGATCCTGCAATCCCATTACTGGGCATCTACCCAGAAGGAAAAAAATCCTTTTATCATAAGGACACTTGCACTAGACTGTTTATCACAGCTCAATTTACAATTGCCAAAATGTGGAAACAGCCTAAATGCCTACCAACCCCAGAATGGATTAACAAGCTGGTTTCGTGGTTTATGTATACCATGAAATACTATTTAGCCACTAAAAAAGAATGGAGACTTTACATTCTTTGTATTAACCTGGATGGAAGTGGAACACATTATTAGTAAAGCATTGCTGGAATGGAGAAGCAAGAGTCTTATGTACTCAATTCTGATACAAGGACAGTTAATGACCTAGTACATGGTGATGGGTGGGGGAAGGGGAGAGCAGAGAGAGAGAGGAGGGAGGAGTTGGGGGAAAGGAAGAGCAGAGAGAGGGAAGGAGGGGGTGGGTGGGGGTCTCGGTGTGTGACACACCTTTTGGGGGCAAGACATAATTATAAGAGGGACTTTACCTAACAAATGCAATCAGTATAACCTGGTTTCTTGTACCCTCAATGAAAAAAAATTAAAAAATGGTAACCAAAAAAAAAAAGAAAAAGAAAGAAAAGAAAACTGCAGACATGTGTCTGTCAGTGGGTTGAGAAAAAGGGTACCATGGGTGTTGGCTGTGGGGCAGACTGGGGATTACAGAGACAAGGCATAAAAGTGTGTGAGGGACACTGCAGGAGAGAGTGAGAATGTACACGATTGTGCTCGCCAAAGGGTATGTGTGTAAATGACAAAACAAATATAGTCTAGCAAGGGAGGGGGGGAGAAAGGGAGGGAGTGGAGAGGGTAATTGGTAGGAGGAGGGATCCCCCACAGGGATTGGTGGTGGGATCTCATCTAATGTGTGTAATGTGAAGGTGTTCAGCATGCCCCCTGGGTGAAGGGCTCAACTATACCATGAACTTTATCTTGGAATTGAGAACAATGTAACATAAAAACTTGTACCCTCATATTAGTTTGAAATTAAAAAAAGATAATGAAATATTTGAGTGACTCTAATACATCTTTTTGCCCTTTTAAAAAAACTTTTTTATTTTGAAACAATTGTAGATTCATGTGTTTCATGCAGCTCATTAGAAAAAGTACTGAGTGATCCCCTTGTACTCGTCTACTATTTTTACCCCAGAATGGCATCTTTCATAACTGTGGTATGATAGGAACACCGGGAGGTAATTCAAGATACAGTTCATTGAACTTGTTCAGATTTTACCAAGTTTACATGTATTTGTATAGTTGTGTCTTTGTGTTTGTGTATTTTTTTATGTAATAAGTTTGTAAACTTTCAGGATTGGCTTTTTTCACTAAGCGTAATTCACCAGAGATTGATCCACGTTATTGATTATTTCAGTAGTTACATTTTGCGTTAAAATATTTCAGTGAATGTCTCTACTACATGGGCTTAAAAAATTATTTTTAAAACCTTTTAAAAGTATTTTAAAAACTTTTCCGGGCTATTTTATAATTCCCACTTAGATTGTGTGAACTTTTTTTGTTTCTGTGTTTTTAGAAGCAAAGTCTCACCCTGTTGCCAAGGCTGGAGTACAGTGATGTAAGCATAGCTCACTTCAGCCCGCAAGTCCTGAGTTAAAGTGACCCTCTTGCCTCAGTTTCCCAAGTAGGTGGGACTATAGTCACAAACTGCCATACCTGGCTAATTTATTATCTTTTGTAGAATCGGGAGCTCTTGCCATGTATTCCAGGCTGGTCTTGAACTCCTGGCCTCAAGCAATTCACTAGGATTACATATGTGAACCATTGCACCTATCCCTATGTATACCTTTATTTAATAATCCATGTTTTTTTTTTCCTTTGTTAGTGACTTTAGTACATTTCAGCATAAAAGACATACATCTCAAGGTCCTTGGAACTGGAAAAAAATTCACATGTGGGCCTACTTCCTTGCTGTTCTTTATGGTGTACTTGGCTTGGCTTTTAAAGAGCATGAAAAGTGCAAGTTTGGCACACAAAGGCCATGCCAGAGGGTGTGTTAGATGACAATGATGGGAAGGAGGGAAGAGGCCAGACCATGCCAGGGCCGGAGACCTTGGCTGGATTTAACTTCCAGGTGATGCCCTGAAGACTTGCACTTCTTCTTTTTTTGAGACCCAGTCTCACTCTGTTGCCTCAGGCTAGAGTGTTGTGGCATCAGTTTCGCCCACAGGAAAATCAAACTCCTAGGCTGGAGCAATCCTCTTGCCTCAGCCTCTGGAATAGCTGAGACTACAAGCACCTATCACCATGCCTGGCTAATTTTTCTATTTTTAGTAGGGATGGGGGGTCTTGCTCAGGCTGGTCTCAAATGCCTGAGCTTGAGCAATCTACCCACGTCTACTTTCCAGAGTACCAGGATTACAGATGTGAGCTACCACACCCAGCCAAGATTTGCACTTTAAAATGTGGTTTTGAGCTAAGTGTGATGGCTCATACCTTTAATCCTAGCACTCTGGGAGAGTGAGGCAGGTGGATTACTTGAGCTCAAAAGTTTGATACCAGTCTAAGCAAAACCCCCATCTCTGCTTAAAAAAAAAAAAAAATAGAGAAAATTAGCCAAGTGTGGTGGTATACACCTATAGTCCCATCTACTTGGGAGGCTGAGGCAGGAGGATAATCTGAACCCAGGAGTTGAGGCTGCAAGGAGATAATGATGACACCACTGCATTCTAGCTAGGGTGACAGTGAGGCTATCTAAAAAACTTGGTAGACAGAGGCTGTGGAATAGAGAATGGATGACTGTAAAAGCAAGGGGAATATATTTTCTAAATTTCTCTTTAGGAAACATTACATTTTTCTTCTTTTTTGAGGGGAAGCAGTTTTCCAGCACTGCTTTGCTATTTACCTGGATGATGATGGTCATTGTTTACTAAGTAATAGTCGAAGTATCTTGCATATTTATTAATTCATAATCCTCACAGTGACTTTTCCAGTTAAGTCCTATTTTCCTTAGAGACAGGAGATGTGAGGTGGTGTGGCTGGTGGGTTCCTGGCTTTTAAAGAGCAAGAACAGTGTAAATTTCGCACACAAAGGCCAAATTTTCCAGCACAAGATAGGGAGAAACAGCTGGGCAGCTAACTTGGTGGCCCATTGTTGTGGCCTACTTATTTGTTAGGTAGGTCTGGGTGGGCACTGAAAGTAGCAGCCCATGTGTAATTGAGTCTTGCAGATGGAATACAGGGTGGTTGTGCCCTGCCTCCCTTGTAGGGCCTCTGTTTAGTAACAGTGTGGCAAATATTTTCACAATATGTTTGATGCCATAGTTTTTAAAACTAAAATGAAAAAACTTGTATTATTTAGGGGGAAAAAAAGAAAAAGTAACAAGACAATCGCTATGCTTCACATTAAGGGTTTTTTACTATGAAGTTTTATTTTATAAGTTCCCTCTAACCTTAAAAAGATCATAGGAGAAACATGAAAATACAAACAAAATCAATGAAGTTTGGTAACCTTTATTGTTGTCCAAAGCAGATTTCTCTCTGAAGTTTCTTTTCCTGAACTTTGTGATTTCAATTGACTCTATCGAGAGTTCACACTGAGTGTGTGTGTGGGCACACACATTCCTGTGTGTATGTGTGTGCGCGTGTGTGTACATGTGTGCACTTTGAGACATACTGTGATATGCCAGTGGAGGCACAGGTGCCATAGGTTTTCTGTATGTGGGCATGTGTTTGAAAAGTAATAAAAATGTCATACTGAATTTAGATGAGTACTACAAGAGACAAAGAATGAACTTCACTATGAGTAGCAGTATTAGTAATAGCTTGTGTGTTGGGATTTGTTTTTGTCTTATTTTTGTTTCTGACCTTTTACTGCTGGGTCATGTTTGGATGAAACTTTATAGGCTACAGAATTCTGTAACTTCTGTCAGTGCCTTTTCCCCACCTCTACTCAACAGTGTTTTGGTGCTGCTGTCTGGGAAATCTTGCTTTGGGCT